GTATTTTCCGCCACCAGGGTAACGTGAGAGAATCGGGCCCTCACCCCACCACATTCCCAAAGAGAGAGATGTGGTTGGGGGATTTCTGGGAGTTGAAGTCCAGTCATCTTCAAGCTGCCACGGTTGAGAAACACTGCTCTAAGCAATGCTGCAAAAGGAAAGGAAGAAAATTATCTCCTCCAACCAGCTGCATTTACCTGAGACCCATCATCTTTCTGGTTCCTGTCCTGCTACAATCTTGCCCTGTACTTTGCCTTTACAATTAACATTTTCTGAGCATTCAAATGCACCAGATTTGTTTTTCTTGAGCTTCAGGGCCATTGCCAGCATGTCCAAAGATGAAAACACATGCAGTTCAGAAGAATTGTCAGAGGTACAAATGACCACCTTCAGGAGGCTAATAAAACAGTCCATCTGCAGAAAATAGGTTAACACAGGGGAGAGTCATAGGCAGCGTAGGGGAGGTGTACACCGACTTAATAGCCAATCTTTGTCCAGACCTTAGTCACACCCATGTCACCGGGGTAGTTTTAAACCTGCTCCAAGTTGGGCAAAACACATTTCTCTTCTATTGATTTTAATAGTAGTGAAGGGGTGGGTACTTGAAAAGCTGCCCACGGGTTGATGACAGTACCTCTGGGTCTCCTGGCCTCTAATCGTGGCTAAAAGAACAAGAGGAAAAAAAGATGCTCCCAGCTAGAAAAAGTTTCTGGAAGATTCCCCACCAGCAGCATTTTGTCCAGCCTCTGCCACTTGGGTGGGGAAGAACGAAAATTCTGGGAGTTGTTTCAACGCAGCTTCCCTTCCGGCTCATTTTTAGCTCGCTTCCCACTAATGGAGAAGCCGGGTGCAACAGATCCTAAGTCAGCTATGACGGAAGCCGAGCAGTAAGGGACACAAGGTAGTAACTGACCCTGAACTGTTCCGTTTCCACACAGTCCAAGGAAAAATACCTCTAGCGTAATCTAACGAAAGTCCCTGCAACTTTCTCGCCGTTACTAAAACTTGTACGTCACTGGCTCACAGCGGCACACGGCCCAGCCAAACTTTAGCAATATTTAACAGTGGTCTTCGCAATCCACCCCCCCAATGCTTTTTTAGAGGAGATGCCTAGGACTGCAAGGGCCACCTAGCTGGCCAGCGCGTGCCCTGGCCCTGCCGAACACGCCGCCGCTGCCATCGCAAAGACGCGCGCGCTCTGCTGCAGCGAACACCCCTGAGCCAAGAGGGGTGCGCTTCGGCTCCGCACGCGCAGGATTCCCGCGACGGGTCCTGCGCAGAGGTTCGCGGGCTCACTCACCCGCCTGCCACGAGGTGCAGAGTCGTGCTCCGGCGAGCCATCCCTCCAGACTCGCGCCACGGTGCCCGGCCGGGCTTCCGCCGAAGATCCATTCCGTCCACCTCGGGGCGGGCCGTGGAGCCTGCGTTCCGATGCAGGTTCTTTTTCTGCACCCGGCAAGGCCCGGCTGCTCTTTGGGGCCACTGCAGTCTTTGGGCCCCGGCGGGACCCCCGGTCTGGTGCTGCCGGGAATTCGGACTTCCTCGCGCGCTGGCCGACAGGGGCGGGCCGAGGGAGTGCCGCAGGCCCCGCCTTGCCCCGGCCGACGCAGGACCGGCGCCTCCTCCCCGCGCAGATCGAGGCTCCGAGCGAGCGTTCCGCTGCTTGGCTCCGCCTCCTCGGCGCGCATCCGAGCTTCTGCTGCTCTGGGTGCAGCAGCCGCAGGAATAAGAGACGGAGGCACTCAGAGAAGGAGTCTGCTACCGGTTGGGGGAACGGCTTTTTCCCCGCCGGAGGATTCGAGGCAAAAAAAGTGGAAGTTGTCGGTGCTTAGTTGCACCTTCCTTACGCAATAATCCAAAAAATGCTGGAGCACCACCGCTACTTGCAGGACTCTGCAGCTGGGGGTGGGAGGGGCAGGTTGAGGTACCCGGTGTCCCCCCCTTTTCCTAGTTAAATGGTATGGTCCGGCCGGCTCAGACGAGGAAACTATTTGAAGCCGGCTCTTTTGTGTATGATTGTGATTGGCAGCTGTCGTCCAGAGGCCCCAGCTCCGCCTCTTGATTGCAAAATACGCCTGCTCAAGCTGCTTTACGGCGGTTGAACTCGGGCTTGTAGGATCTTTCTCATGTCGCCGAACTGGAGTATAACAGCGATTTTAACAGGAACGGTCTCTTACCTGTTTGACTTCAAGGGGGCGGAGGGGAGAGAGTTAAAGTATCAGGAAATGCATTTAATGTTAAATCGATAAAGATGGTTTAGGGGGTGGGATGGGATTTTTGGTTATTTTGTTTTTTGAGGGGGAGAGGCAAAGAAGTGAGACAAGATGATAGAGACACGGTTTAAGTCAATTTTATGTCTTGAAGGCAAGAAGAGGGGTGGGATTTTAATTTAAGTTTGGATTTTGGGTAGAACAGTGGGAGGGTAGTATAATTCTACTGAAGGGCATTATTTTGATACACAATTTTATATTCTATATATACACAATTTTATATAT